TTACAATCTAATTAGCCATTTCCATTTTTTTTTTTAAATCTTGTAACTTCCATTTGGATGGGCAGCAATGCCACCTCTGAGGTTCCTTTTTTTTGGTTATTATGTATTCAGGTAACATTGGTTAATACTACAAATTTCAGGTGTACAACATTACAATCTGTATACTCTATTGCATGCCCACCACAGCTCTGAGGTTCTTAAAACTTACGTGTTGGAAATACAGCAGCGATTGAGGAGGACTACTTAGTGAGGCTTCATGGCTTTGTCTCTGGATTAGCACCTTGTCTTTAGTGTTTTTTTTTTTGGCCATTAGCTCAATTTTGATTCCATGACCAAATAACAACCTTCAGATAAGATTTTATTTGTGATGGGAACTCATCTGTACATTTCTTATTTGGGGGTGGGGAAGGGTTAATTATAGGAAATGACAGAATACATCCATGTTCTGTAGTCATTTTCACAGACAGACATGAATCTTCTTTGAGCACTAAGCCAGGGGCTCTGGCTGATTCGGTTGCTGATGGACAATGGAAGAGCTGTGATTGCATTACGAACTACAAATGAGAACAGCTGACTACAGCTCTGTGTATACAGCTCAGCCCTTTACTAAATGGGCTAGTCAGTTACCTTCTGCTTCTCTGCTTATTACCTGGAAAATGGGGATAATGCAACCTGTAGGATGTTTTGAGGGGCAGAACTTATGGGTGCAGTGTCTGACACAGTAAGCAGTGAATAATAACACTTATGATTAAAATACAAATATTAATACTTTTAATATAATGATTGAAACTTTTATTTTATATTTTATTGCTCATAAAATACTTTTGAGCAAAGTCAGCTTTAGTTGATTGATTTCCAGATTATTTCTCATAGCCTAAGTAATTAGACAGCTGCCAGTCACCTTGGTTAGCTTAGACAAGTATATCATTTTTGTTTTAATTTTTACCAGGGAATTGCTTCAACTCTCCACAATGTAATTAGAGAGTATATGCTAAAAATCAACTTTGGTCATTTCATGATTAATATAAATAATATTCTCCACTTAAGTGGTATATGGAAAATAGTATCTTAACGAAGGAAAAAAAAGTTTCTGGGCAATATGAAGCCAGTTCAAGTACTTATGTAAGGGTCTTATTGGCAGACATGTTTTTGAATTTTAAATGCCTAATCGTGGTACAGCCACTATGGCAAACAGTGTGGAGGTTCCTCAAAAAAATTAAAAATACAGCTACCATATGATCCAGCAATTCCACTTCTGGGTATTTATCAGTAGAAAATGAAAACACTAATTCAAAAAGATATATGCATCCCATGTTCAACACAGCATTCTTTACAATAGCCAAGATATGGAAACAACCTAAGTGTTCACTGATGGATGAGTGGATAAAGAAAATGATATATGAATATTATTCAGTCATAAAAAAGAATGAAATCTTGCCATTTGTGACAACATGGAATAACCTCGAGGGCATTATGATAAGGAAATCAGGCAGAGGAAGACAAATAGCATATGATCTCTCTTGTACTATGTGAAATCTTAAAAAAAAAGCAAAAACCAAGCTCACAGGGCGGGGGTTGTGCGGTAGGAGAAATGGGTGTGAACTTTTTGTTGTTTAGGTTAAGTTGAGAAAAAAAAACACCAAAACCTTATAAATGGTAACGGTATTTACCTGAGCTTTCATTCCAGATCTCAGAAGAAAAAGCTCAGTAATAATATTAGTTTGGTATAATGACTTTACAAATTCTGTTTGCCTCATCTCTTCCTAAATGAAAGCAATGCTTCAGTATTGGATAGAATTTTCTACAGTATAGCAGGCTCCAACCTATGTAACCAACTGGGCCTTATCTGTGACATTTACTTCACAGTTTAACAAAAATACAATGTTTCAGCTTGGTGATCTGATATTACACATCAGTATATGTTAAACATGTCACTACAGATATTTTATTCTTTACCTCGCTGCTTCTGTCATAGTACAGGTCATCATCATCTCATACCTGGATTATTGTAACAGTCTCCTGGATGTCTTTCTGTTTCAGTCTTTTCGCTCATCCTGTACTTTATAGCTAGGTTCGGCTATCTGAAATGTGATTACATTACCACTCAAAGTGTGTGCATGACTTCTTATTGCCTTTAAATCAACCTCCAGACGTTTCTTAGCATGACACACAAAAACCTTTAATATTCTGGCTTCTGCTTATTACTTCTACTTTGTCATCACTAATTGACCTTCCTCCTTCCCTCCAATATCCCCCACTCACAAGCTGCCACTTCATTTGTACAATGTATTATTTTTCAGTACTTGTGGTTTCCTAGAGAAGGAATATTCTCATGCTTCTACACTTCCCTGTGCCTGGCACATGCCTCTCATCTGACTCCCTTCCCTAAATAATGCGGACTCATCCTGTTTAAGCAACTCAGATGTCATCTGCTGCAGGAAGGCTTGCCTAATGACCCTCTTCTCCCAATCTGGGCTAAGTGTCTGTCCTGTGATTTTTTTAAGCATTATGCTCTTGACTTATCTGTACTTCCCCACCCCCACCCCTCAGCTCTTCGAAGACCGTCTTTATTCATATGCCCAGTACTTGGCACATTGTAGGGGGCCATTAAATATAAGCTGACTGACTGAATATTTTTATGCTTGCACATTAGAAGCATAACATTTTTAAAATTATTTGTTCTTGAGATATCAACCTTTTAGAGTTTACAATTCAGTGATGTTGAGCATTAGTCACAAGATTGTACAGCTATCGCCACTGTCTTATTTTCATCACCCCAAGAAAAAAACCCAGTACCCATAAGCAGTCTTGCCCTATTCTCACCTTCCAACCCTTTGCAACCACTAATCTACATTGTCTCTGTGGACTTGCCTATTCTGGATATTTCATATAAATGACTTATACAACATAGCCTTTCATATCTGACTTATTTTATTTAACAGTGTTTTTAAGGTTGTTTGTGGCAGCATGTGTCAGTACTTCATTCCTTTTCATGACTTAAAATATTCCTTTGTATGGGCATACCACATTTTGTTTATCCATTCACCAGATATTGGGTGTTTGGATTGTTTCCATATTTTGACTATTATGAATAATGCTGTTATGAACGTTCATTTCAAGTTTTTTGTGAACATGTTTTCATTCCTCTTGGGTATATACCTAGGAGTGGAATTGCTGGGTCATATGGTAACTTTGTTTAACTTTGAGGAACTGCCAAACAATTTTCCAAAGTGGCTGTGCCATTTTACATTCTCGCTGGCAATGTTGAGAGTTCCAAATTTTCCACATCCTCACCAATACTTGTTACTATCTGTCTTTTTGATTATAGCATACCAGTGTATGTGAAGCATAGTATCTTATGGCGGTTTTAATTTGCATTTCCCTAATGATTGATTAGATATTGCACATTGTTTCAAGTGCTTATTGGCCATTTGTATATCTTCTTTGGAAAAATGTCTACTCAAATTCTTTGCTCGTTTTTTTACTTGGGTTTTTGTTTTTTTGTTTTTTGTCTTTTTATTGCTGAGTTGCAGAGTTCTTTATATGTTATTGATACTAGACTTATCAGATAGATCATTTGCAAAAGATGGTGAATAATATTTTAAGAAGCAAGTTTAATACTTATACATGCTACAACATGGATGAACTTTGAAAACATTATCTTAAGTGAAAATGCCACATTTTATATAAATCCATTTATTTGACATGTCCAGAATAAACAAATCCATACATACTGAAAGTAGATTAGTGGTTGCCAGGGCCTTGGGGTTGGGGGATGGTTCAAGAATGAAGAGTAACAATTAATGGATACAGGGTTTCTTTTGGGGATGATAAAAATGTTCTAGAATTAGATAATGGTGATGGTAGCAAAGTCTTATGAATGTACACTCAAAACCATTAACTGTTTAATTCAAAAGGGTGAATTTTATGGTATGCGACTATTTTAATAAAGCTTTAAAATAAGCGTATTTTGTTTTTTGAACTGTTCAAGCTTGTACCACTTTTGAAGATAGCTGGGAAATTTCCCATCGGCCAGGGTGCCAGGCCTTTGAGTCCTTTCATCAGTGCTAAGAAAGGAGAGAGCATGCTGTCTCTGCCATTCCCGCCTGTTATTTTTTATGTCAGTGGTGTTGCTGTGCTTTAGAAGTCCCGCTTTGCTTGCGTAAAATGTAGACAGCCTGTTATTTTCAGGTTTAATTTCAGTTTTGTTTTCATTAGGTATGATAGACTCAATTATTAGATGATTTTTCTTTAACCCCTATAATATTTTCATTTGGTTCAGATCAGAGGCCATTTTAAGATATATTTTCTTATAATCATATATTCAAAGAAAGCCATGTTTGAGGTTGGGTGGGATGGAGTTTTGGAGTTGTGATCATAGTTAGAGCACCTTTCCAGAAGACTGGCTTCTGTATTGTAATAGTGATGATGAATTATGAGATTTAATGTAGGAACAAAAAAGAATACATTACAGATTTAATTTTCTTGCTATTAAGCACCCAATATTTAACATTCATTTTCTTTTACAATACCTAACATTTTAGTTTTAATGTGTGAAATTGCAGTGAAATGTCTCAGGACTTCCTAACATTATCAGTAACACTTTGTATTTAAGAGTAAGGGATACCAAGTATAGAGAAAAGTAATTTTCCTTAAAAAAATTGGATTCGAGGGGTGAATTATTGTTGATAGCTAAATGAAACCAAATAAAAGTAATCACTTTCTAGCGCTCTTGACTTGAAGTGCTTTCTCTACAGAATCAGAACTAATTCCATTGTGATGCTAGTTTTGGTTCTTTGATTTTAATAGAGAATTCTCAAAGTGGGAGTAGCAGTCTCCATTTTTTCTTGTGCTTGTGAACATTCTTTCTGTCCAGGTGTTTTCTCCCCATCATCTCTCTGCCATACCCCCGCCCATCCTTCGTTACCCTGTCCCTTGCCTCCAAATTAAACCTGGGAGAGTTTGTAAAATACTGTTTTGTGATTTTGTTTTGTTTATAGTATAAACTGTGACCATGACGACTGAAGTAGGCTCTGTGTCGGAAGTGAAGAAGGAACCTGACCAGTTAGGAGCAGATGCACCCAAGGAGAAACCTGAAGAGGTAGCAGAAAATCAGCAGAATCAGCCATCTGATCCAGAGGAGGAAAAGGGTTCCCAGCCAGCTCCCCCAGCTGATCGCCAAAGTAGTCCACGCCGCCGGAAGAGAGAGAAGGATCCGTCGGAGAGCAGGGGGATTTCTCGATTCATACCCCCGTGGCTTAAGAAGCAAAAGTCCTATAACTTAGTAGTGGCCAAAGATGGAGGCGATAAGAAAGAGCCTGCCCAAGCTGTTGTGGAAGAGCAGGTTTTAGATAAAGAGGAATCTCTTCCTGAAGAAGAAAGGCAGGCCAAGGGGGATGCTGAAGAAACAACTCAGAGGAAACAGCAGGTAATTAAGGTTGATGGCAAGGAAGAGGAACCTTCAGTGATCGGTCCTGAGACACAGGTATGTTTGAGAAGTGATTGTCTGGAAATGAAAGTTTGATGGTGTAACTGCTTTACCAAAAGGATTTGTTTGCTTTGAATCATTTCCGGGTTTCTTGTATTTAGATACTATTTTGGCTTATTACTTCTGGGATATGGGTTTTGGAATGGTTTAATCCACCCTTCTTACTCCTTTTAAAAATTTCCAAAATAATAAAGAAAAAAAAATCGACCATAAAAAATTACATCTGTTCCTTTTAAAGTTAAACAGATATTCCCAGAATCCTGTCACCTCTCCTTTTAAATAATATGTACTTTTATATCTCTTTGATTTGATTTGTTAAGTGTTCAGTGAGTAGGAAGAAATAGATTTGTATGTGTGTCCATTTTAGTTGCCTAATGACGCCGACATTTTGCCATGGAATGAGATAATGGGAAATTTTATTATTTGAAATGGTATTTAAATTGCAGTTGCTGGGATGTAATTTATTTACTTATTTAATGCCGAAATTACCAGATTTGCAAAATGAGAAAATTGGCAGTGGTTTGGGGGAAGGAAGATGTGGAAATATCCTTTCTAGCAAACGTTTGAAGTGTTTTAAAATCTTAGGCTATTAGTATTTATAACAATCACCATCTTTACTAAGGATTTTCCTTTTAGTGTATTGTGTTCTGCAAATCGGTCATCTTTCTTATGAACTTAATTTTTTCATCAACAGCCTGCTGAAGCAGCAAGGAAGGAGACGGAGGAGGAAAAGGTAAGGGAAATACAGGAAGACAAATCAGAAGAAGCAGCAAAGAGAGAGACAAAGGAAGTACAGACCAATGAGCTAAAGGGAGAGAAGGCCTCTCAAAAAACCACCAAGAAGACCAAAACTGTCCCGTGTAAAGTGACCCTCCTAGATGGCACTGAGTACAGCTGTGACTTGGAGGTGAGTCATCGAGCTGATCTTAATGTGTGGAATGAAAGCAAAAGTGTAGTCTGCCTGCATTTGTGGCATAGCACAGTATATTTTTCTGTTCCTATAAGTTAGTCACAATTTTGCATGAAAAAAACACACCAAAAAACAAACAAGAAACCTTAGAAGAGGGTCATCATTTCCATTCCAAAAAATAGTTCCTGACCCTTACGGGTAAGGTAAGCAGGGCTGCTGTTCTGCCAGTCTGCACTGGTCATATGTATTGTCTGGTGTCTGTTCTGAATGGACTATTAACAGTTCGACTATTATCTCTGGCTATAAGATATTTCACTTGAGAAATGATAGCCCTATGTTGGCATTTGAGAATCATAACATTTCAGTAGTTTAACCCCAAGTATTTTATCCTGAGACAGATGATGACTTAAAATCTAGCTTGTTTATCTATTTTTAGTAAAAAACACTCATGATTTGAGAAGCATATAATTCATTAGCACTGTTGCAGATTGATACCAATGTAATTTTTTAAAAGCATCTAGCACCTTATAGTTTTATGCTAATCAAAAGTTCGTTGCTTTTCATAGCTAAGTCACTTCATTTACATGACATATACTAATAGCTGACTTTTACTGTAGAACTGTGTGAAAAGTTTTGAATGGATTATCCTATGTAATGTTTATAAGAATCTATATGAAATAGTTATTATTATGGAAAGTCCCAATATTACAATGGGACATGTAGGCTTAGAGAGGCTAAGTAACTTGCCCAAAGTGTCATAGCTAGCTAGTGGTTGAGCCTGTATTCCAGCCCTGGAGGCCATGAACCTGACCACTGAGTTACCAAGAAGAATGATGCATGGTTCTTGCCGTTATCTTTGAATTAGTTATCTAGAACTTCTATTATTATTATTTATTTCACGATAATTGCTCTTTTATTTCCAGTTGTTTCAGGAAAAAGAGTGACAGAAGAAAATTAAAAATCCTTAAAGCTCTCGGAGAGAGAATGATAGTGTGTCTCAGCAGTAGGGGAAGGGGACAATAGGAAAACAATAGAATGGTGTTCTGAACTTGATTCAGTTACATTGTATTTGACCACATGTCCCTTGTTTTTTCCTACCTCTCCTAGAAGCGAGGGAGTCTAGATTTTGAGAAACCAACTTGATGATCACTTGTTATAGAACCTTGTCATTTATTTTCTCCATTGCTCTGGGCCAAACTGAGGCCCAGAAACTGACTTTATCTACAGAATATAGAGGATTACTTTGATAATCTAGAAGGCCCCATCATCTTTGACATTCTTTATATCACCAGACCTTAAGACTGAAAAATATGCTTTATGGTTTAAATCTATTTTTGTTCTTTATCTTCTTTTTTTAAAGTCATGATAAATTTAAAAGTACAACAATGTAGAAATAATGGAAGGGACAGTTGCATATTCACCATAAAAATTTTAATCAGGTGTTACCATTTTGCCGTGTATTTTAGATATTTTTTTTAAGATACCAAAAAGACATTGCTAAAATCTCATTCCCATCTCTCCTCTCTTGCTCTCCATGTGTCTTTGTACGATGTCTAAATCTACTTTATTCATTTTAACTGCTGTATAGTGTAGTATTCTTTTGAATGACTAAACCATTTTATCCATTTCTCCTCTAAGGCATAATTCCTCATATTGTATAACAATCAGTGCTTCAGTTAACGTTATTGCACATGTTTCCTTGTTTCCTTGTTCAAGAGTTTCTTCAGGGTAGATACCTAGTAATGGAATTGGTAGGTTGATAGGATGCAGTTTAATTTCTTCAATACGCCAAAGGGACCTCCAAGGTGGTTGTGCCATTCGGAATTCCAGCCAGCAACCACTGATTTTTCCACATTGTCATCAGCACGTCTTGTTATCAGACATTAACTTTGACCAGTCATTTGGGTGTGAAATAGCATCTCAATATTTCATTTTGCATTTATTTGATCACTGTCAACATCCAGTTGGGTATGCTGCAGTAACAACCTCCAAATCTTCTGAACTGATTTTTTATAATAACAATGGTTTATTCCTTGCTCATGTTTCTTGCCCTTGGTGTGTCGGCTGTGGCTCGGCTGTGTGTCTTCTTGAGTTTTGGACCAAATCTCAAGGTGTATCCTCTGTCTGGGACCTGCTGTTCTCACCATACAGGGAAAAGAGAACATGGTGGAACTTCACTATGGCTCTTAAATTATCTGCTTGGAAATGGTATATATCATTTTCATTTACATCTCATTGGCCAAGCAAGTCACATGGTTAAGGCTGATAACAATGGGTGGGCACGTATGAGTGTCTCAGAGGAAGAGAGTGTTATATAATTGAAAACATGGAAACGATACTGTAATTTGCAACTCATGAGGTTGAGCATCTTTTTGTAAGTTTTATATAGGATTGCTCTAGGATTTTTAAAAATAGATATTCTTTCTCAGATGAAGGATAGTCTTTTTCTAGTTTCTAACAACAAAACGAGGAAAGTTTTTGAATAGGTGGTGAAGACATGAATTGGTAGTGAATTTTACCAAAATTTATCAAATAGGTTCTGCATCAACTGTGAGGATCATATGATTTTAGAAAATCTGTTGATGTAATTTACGTTGATGTTTTCTAATGTTAAGCCATCTTTGAATTTCTAATATAAACACTACTGTTCATGATGATTCGTCATTCATTTTGAGTTTTTTTAGGCGTTTTGCATATATTACCTATGATTTTTTTTTAAAGATTTTTTATTATTATTATTATTGGGGAATTGGGGAAGGGGAACAGCCAAGTTGTTGTCCTTCAGTCCTAGTTGTGGAGGGCACAGCCAGCTCAGTTCCAAGTTCATCCGTCATCTGGCCGCCCATTAGCAGCACGCGGCTGCTCAGATCAAGGTGTCATGTTCAATCTTAGTTGTGGGTGGGCATAGCGCACCATCTCATGCAGGAGTCCAACTGGAAACATTGTTGCTAAGAGCACTTGCTCTAACCACTGAGCTATCTGGCCTCCCATCGCAGCTCAGGGTGCCGTGTTTAATCCTAGTTGTGGGTGGGCGCAGCCCATCATCCCATGTGGGAGTCAAACCAGCAACGTTGTTGTTAGGAGCACGTGCTCTCACTGGCTGAGCCATCCTGCCACCTATTGGCAGCTCAGCGGCAGCTCAGCTTGGGCTCAACTCACTGGCTCATGTGGGAATCAAACCGGTGACCCTGTTGCTCAGAGCTTGTGTTCTTAACCAACTGAGCCACTCGGCCGGCCCCTGATTTTCTGTTATCAAAGTGTCTTCATCAGATTTTATCTGGGCTGTATACTAGCCTCAAAAGTTGTTTTTCTCAGTATTCTCTGGAAAAGCTTGGATAAGTTAGAGATTTACTTTTCTTTGGAAACCTGGTAGAACAGTGCCTTTAAAACTCTCTTGATCTGGTGGCCTTTTTTGGGGAAGAGTAAGGTTGGAAGGTATTTTTTTTGGGGGGGGGAATAATTGATTCAATTTCCATATGTCTATTTATATTTTTTCTTGAGTCAGTTTTAGTAATTCATATTTTTAGTGAAAACTGTCCGTTTCAACTAATTTAACAAATCTTATTGTCATGAAGGTTTTCATAGTATTCTCATCTTGTATATTTGATTTTGATTTCTTTTTCATTTCTGGTGTTTTTTACCTTTTAAAGATTTTTTTTTAATTGGGAAATTGGGGGGATGGGAACAGTGCTGGGGGATTGGGGAAGGGGAACAGACAAGTTGCTGTCGTTTTTGTTCTTCAATCTAGTTGTGGAGGACGTTGCTTCACTTGCCCAAGTTGGCACCATCATTGAGCTCTTCCCTGGAAAGGCAGATCAGTCGCCGGCTTCTGGACCGCCGCTCACTGTGGCTGCTGGCCACTCACGCTGGCTGCTGGCTACACATGGTAACCCATGGCAACCCACTGCCACAGGACTGCAGCCTATGCCGTCGCCAGCGACTCATGGCAGCCCAGTTCCAGGTTGAGCTGTTGTTCAGCATCTTAGCTGTGGAGGGCAGTGTTCACTGGCCCTCATATGTGGGATCCGAACCGGGGCCCTCTGGCATCCCAAGCGAGTTCTTAACCATCGTGCCACTCGGCCGGCCCTACCTTTTCTTCTTGATCATTCTTGCTGTATTTACCATGTTAATCTTTTTTTCTGAAAAGAAACTTGGTTTTGTTTATTGTTTATATTGCATGTTGCAATATTTTGTTCTCTTTTGCTTTTTGTTTTTTCTTTGGGATTTCTCTATTTTTCCAATTTCTTGAGTTGAATATTAAATATACAGAGGGTGCCAAAAAATGTATACACATTTTAAGAAAGGAAAAAACTGTATTAATTGTAATAATCAATATATGCCGATAACAAAACATGAATACAAGTTACATTTGACTTCTGCAATTACAATAGGTACTCAAAGTGGTTACCATCAGCGTCCAGACACTTCTGATTATGGTGAAGTACTGCTTGAGCAATGTTGACTAAAGTGTCCACGTGTATACATTTTTTTGGCACCCCCGGTATATATGTTCTCATGGCTCTAATTTTCAAATGACTCTTGTTGATAGTACAAGTTTTTAAATATAGTGCTTTCATTGCTATTTAGTTCTTAGTATTTTCTCATTCTATTATAGGTCATTTGTGACCACTGAAGTTTTTATAAGTGAGTTTTTAAATTTCCAGAGTGTGTGCATGTCTTGTGGGAAGCAGACATTTTTCTTTTGTTCAGATTTTCTGTTTTATTACATTGTGGTCAGAATGTGGCTTAAATAAGAGATTTTATTGTATTTGTTAAGACTTTGCAGCCTAATATACAGTCAATATAGTTCTTTTGCGATTAGGAAAGCATGTTATCCTTTCATTGTTGACACAGGTTTCTAGATTTGTCCTCTTGATCAGACATATTAATTATGTGGGTCATGTTGTCTATATCTGTATCGATTGTTTAACTGCTCATTAGTTATGTTAAAAATCTCTCCCTATGATGGTTGATTTGAGAACTTCTCATTGTATTTC